TGTGTGTGTGTGTGTGTGTGTGTGTGTGTGTGTGTGTCGTGGAGGGGTCGGGGTAGAAGTAAGTTCACGCAATTTGCAAATGATTGGTGATGCCACATCCTGGATTGTTTAGCCATCTTTTTTAGTTTCAGATCAAAATCCTAATTGGCTCATTTTGCACAACACTGGTGTAAAAGTAACTGTTCAAAGCATTAACACACACATCTTTGTTTTTCCATCAAACTGAGGACTTTGTATTGACTTCCATTCATTATTAGAACTGTATTTCTGCCTGACCCCAGATGTTTCTCCCCATTGCTACTCCTAAACTTAACCAAAACTTAACTCACACCACACAGCTAAATCTGAGGAGTAGAGCACAGAACTGCAGCAAAGTGAGAACTGGGAAAATGTCCTCATTTACCAAGAAAATGACCTCACTTTGTTGGTTAAAAATCTATGACGTTCCTTACTTACACTTATTTGTATTTCTGTATTTGTGTGGATTTTGCATTGACTTCCATTCTTTTCTACAGCATCCCCCCTTATAAACTTAATTCACAAAGCCCTAACCCTGGACCTGGCAAATGTCCACACAATGACAATATGTCCTCATAAGCATAGTTTAATATTGAACACATGCACATATACAAACTAATATACATATATATTAATGAACTATATATATATATAGTACTTGAAAAAACAAGTTAACATAAAATTACTTGGACAGAAAATGACTTTGGTAAAAATTAATTTTCATTGATGAGAAAAGTACAAAAACTGCTCACAATAATCTGGAAAGTAACAGTAAAAGTACGTGTATTGAATTTACTTGATCAAACGGGTTCCACTAAACCAGACTGCGTAAATGTAAAGCAAAACTTTCTATAAAAATACATGAATTGCTCAACTTACTCATTACAGTGGAACCGTGCTGAAATAACTAAGCTAATCCAACACKTCATGTTTTCAGAGTGTACAAACAATTCTTTTCATGATGAGCTTGAGTCATATTTAAATTTGTAGCTTGTAACTGTTAAAGGTGTTAAGGTGTTSAAATTTTAAGTAGAGGTGAAAGTATCATGTTAATGTTTTGAATGTAACAAAATAAAAGTAAAAGTTATGATTAACAAAATGCTTAATAAAATTGCATATCTTCAAAAATACTTAAGTACTGTGACAAAGTAAATATAATTAGCTACTTTATACCTCTGAAAAAATATCCACACAGTTACAAAAACACAGGCACACACACACACACACACTGCTCTTTTCAAAGCGTCATCATCAGTGTCAGTTTTCTAAACGCACAGACAAGTTGTACTTTTAAATAATTAATACTCACATTTATAGAATAAAAGCAGATTCATAGGATTCAGTTTTTGGGTCGTATTCGTTGCCTTGACAGTATAAGGTCCACTCTCACTGTGGCCCAAAGAGATCAGCTCCAATTCCCAGAAGTCTAACAAGAAGCCAAAGACGCAGTAAAAAAAAAAACACGAGTTGTCTTTCAACTTCTTGTACCACCTTGTTGATGTTTTTACACTGACTTTCCAGCCTAAAACGACCCTTATAGAACAAAAATCCAATCCGTTGATCAGCGCGTGCGAGCTGCTGTATTGCACCCATACCGAGGAGGGCCCCTGCAAACAGGCACCAACCTATCGATGCATCTCCTGATCCATACGCACCCTGACATTGATGGATGGCTGAACTGGACTGACACCGGCGAGCAGCAAAGTTTCGCGGAAGAAGTTTGCAAAGGCGTGAAACATGAAAGTTGATGTTGGGGGGGGGGGGGGGAGTTTGATTTTCCCCCCCCCTTCTAATATGGTCTCAATCCGAGAAGCACAGATGCGTAAAAGATGGGTCAGAAGCCTAGAGGCTATGATGAAATAAAAGTCGACAGATTTACTCTATAACATTTGCTGGAGGGAAGAAAAAAAAGTTGGAGGGAAAAAAGTTCATGGGTGGCAAGAAATATTTAACTTTACTTCTTAGATTTTTAGAAAACACTGAAATAGGTTGTGAGATCTGAAGCTGAAGGAATTACAGGATATCTTTCAGCTCAATACGCGATTGTTGGTAGGGGGAAAAAAAAAAAGGTTATAAGCAATATAACTTCCAAGTTTCTGACCCCGAGATGTCAGTTAATATTTAACCTTCACCCGAGCCATCACATGCGCTCCTGGCGCTTTTATCAGAGAAAACAAGGAGCGAGCCCCCCCTTATCCATGAGCACAAACGTTGCGCACTCTGTAACGGATTGCACTTCTGTCTTTTATCTAAAGTGTCTAATGCAATCTTTTTTTTTTTTTCAGGACTTCGAGCTTCAGTTTGCAACATAAAAC